CTGTCAGTATCACCTCTGACCGTGACCCACGGTCGTTTCCAGACACGACTCTCTTTCTCACTTCGAAAAGATGGATTCTTGGTGCCTTACCTGCAATTTTTGGCTTGGTTAGGTGGTGCTTTACCCGAAACCGGTGAACGTTGTCTGTCTTGTTGCATTTTTTTCCCCCTTTTATCGCTTCGAAAACTTTGATTCCTGGTGCCTGACCTGCAAATTTCGCGTGGATAGGTGGTGCTTTAACCAAAACCGGTGCAGGTTTCTGTGCTGTGACATTCGTGTGTGTTTTATCTCAACTCATTTCATCGTATGTTATTGGCGGGGAGGGATCGGGATGGGGTGGCAGAGGCGAGCCACTTACCCCGAGCTTGCCCAACAGGGTGCTCAGTCCCTGTGCGGCTCGGATGTGAAATTGGCGGACGCTGAAACGCATCTGCGATGTTGCTTGTGCGGCGCCTTGTGCCTGCCGACTTCGTCAGCCGGCTCCCGCTGCGCTGACGCTGCTAGCCGGCCCTAACGCGGGACCGCAGGCCTGGAACCCACCATCCCCAACACCGCAGCGAGAAAAGGTCCGTGCACAGAAACAAAAATACAACTTGTAATCATATCGAAAGCTGTCTGTGAGTACAACTGCCATAATTTTTTGTCACGAACATTGCGTTTTTTTTTTTTGCTGCGGACCTTTTTGCAGCATCGTTCAGGCGTGCATATGCAGGTGAAGGCCCAATCCAAGCCACACGCACGGCAGAGCACATTGCTGCGACCCGTGGCCCGAGTCCAAGGCCAGAGGCGCTCACGCGAGGCGACTGGCGAAAGCGGCGCCTCCAAGTCAACACGCCACCTCAAACTATGTTCGCTCCTTCGTTAGCTGTTGGTCCCAGAAACAAAATGTAATATCCCCACGGCCGTAATTTCTCACAATGATACTGATTTTATTTCGTGTTGTCACAATACTGGGACCTTTAACAGCGAGGCCGCGATGGGGCGTGCGAGCAGGCGTAGCCAGGTGGCGGCTTAGGCTTCAACGAAGCCCCAACCTCGAGCCCAGCTTGGGGTATGTCTGGTGTGGCTGGTGTTGAACAGTAGCACCAATCAGGACGTCATTGCCACAATAAGGTGGGAGGTTGCAAGGGCCAGGAAACCGCAGACCCCCCCGGTCCTTGGCCAACCATTTCCACGGCAGCATGCAAGGGAACATATGCAAACATGATATTTGCGCTTGTGTAATTTGGAGCCCTGACCTTCAAGTCCGCAGCTTGAAGCTTCGCAAGTACAGCAGCAGAAGCCTTACGAACAATTAGTCGAGACGAGGCAATGCCGACCAAAACAACATGATTTTCTGACTTAATTGAAAGGACGTGATATATACAGCGTTCTGATTGATGACACCCTTTTCCAAAGTGTCAGGCCCACATTACACGCATTTTTGGAATGTACTGACGTTGAAACTTTCCATTGATGATGTTCCAAATGCAATGCAGCACTCCTGATGTTGGAGTATCAGCAGCGTGCTGTGGATGACTGGGTTCGTTCGTCATCCTCCCTGGCCATCTTTGGACATGGTCTTGGCATCCAGAACCTGTGGGGCATGAGTCTGTTGTTGTTGTTGTTGATGATGACGATGTTGTTGTTGTTGTTGTTGTGGTGTGCTTGTGCACAGGTCCGGATGAGTGCATAAACTGGGATGTGCAGCGTTGACGGCAATTCATATCTTGCCTCCAGGAAGATTTTGCTGGAAGCGCTGCGAAAATCGTTGGCTGCCGCCCAGCAAGATGTGGAGAGCGCAAAACGTGCCATCATTGTGTTGAATACCAGCCAGGACTTTGACGACACTAGATGCTGCAGCCCAGGGCTTTTTTAGTCAAAACCCTTTTCCGAAGTTGGCAACCGGCTTCAAGTTCCGACGGGTTGCCAGGTCGGGTGGGGGAGGGCATGGTTATACTGCAGGATGCATTGGTTGGTTGACAGCTGTGCTTGGCAGGAAGAATCAGAATTGCTCGCCAAGCGCGCGTCCGAAGACCCTCTCTGGGCAGGCACTGGCTTTTTGAATTTCATGTGCATTGGCATTGCGCAACAGGGTACTGAAACGCGAGCCATACCCCCGACAGTCCCCTCATCCAAGAATCCTGATTGCCAGAAACCTTTCATATTTTTGAGCCAATCACATCTTCGGAAGCAGGGCTGCAGCACAAGTTGTGCGTCATTGCTTCTGCCCATGGTGTGGAAGGACGCGCAAGTTACCATGCAGCAACGCAATGGGTGATGTTGGTCCTGCTGCCGTAACATGTTGCATCATCCCTCAAATGATTTTTTTTCAGAATCCAGCGTGGTGTGTTGCCATCCATATGATCCCGTTTGAAGGTTTGCCAAAAGCTATAGATGGTTCATCTCAGATGATTGGCCAGTGACCTTAGCTTGCTTTCTTGTCCACTCTCCGAATTTTTGTTTTCGGTCGTGGCCTCCCCAGCGTGTGCCACAAAATCCCATTTTCAAATGTGGCAAAACTCGCAGCCCTAGTTCCTGCAGGACGTAGAGCGGCACTGGCGAAGGGCGGAATGTTTCTTGTGAATGCTCGGTTGCTGGTAACGGATCTTCTGGGAGATCGGCTGCGACCGGAAGCCATAGAGGGGGCTCCTCCTTTGCACCATAGCGAGTACTTTGCTAGGATGGAAAGCAATGTTGCTGCTGTTGTTGCTGGTGTCGTCGTTGCTGTGTTGTTGTACCCAGGAAGAGGACAGCCTTTGCCACTTCGGATCATAGCACGTCATGAATAATGGGTGGATGTGGGCAGGATAATGGTCGTCCATTTTTACTAGCAATTCCTGTTATGGCATGCGTTTATTTGTTGCAGTCATAATGCCTTGGAAGGATAAATGTGATGTCTTTATTATCACTAAAGTAACGCGTAAGGACCCATAGGAAGGACGACTTGGCAGCCGTTTCTGCAAATTATACCTTCAACGTCTCCCAACCTTGTTGGCCCTAAACCTTGAACGTTTTGCCAAGGTATTTGTGAATCATGCTCACGGGGTGGGCGAGCTTTCAGCGGATGCCTTTTTTCTGCGTCTATTTCGCGCGCCTTGGCCTTTCAGCGCTCCAGCTGCTCCAGTTGCCACATGTGAGTCTACAGAGAAAACTGCCATATTTAGGGTTTGCAGGTTCGGAGATCCGGCTTCTACACTTGGTTGGTTGTTGGGCATCAGAAAAAAGGCTTTCCGGCATGCAAAGGTTTAGTGTGGACTCCAACTGCTTGCGCTTGCGTGTAATGCAGCGCAGCCCCCAAATCTTGCCGTCGTCACGGTTACCAAATCGTGAACAAATTTTCCTTGATGCTTGCAAGGGCGCACACCTCGAACTTGGCAGTATGCGCAAGGGCAAAACCATCGCATCTCCTCAGCGCTGCAAATGGCTCTTGATACAGGGCCCGAGACCTCTTTTGAGGGGCCTGACACAATTGTTGCCTCCCCACAAAGTGGAAACGTTTGAGCAGGAGTTTTTGAGCAATGTGCCCAATATCACAATGATGAACGGTGGAATTTCTAGATTATATGTTTATATGTTATGTGCACGCATGTGTATGTAGTGAATAGACCCGAAAACCACTCCTATCCAGGTGGGCAATCACAAAGGCTTTATTCGAGCCATCTCGGACATGCCAGATGCCGGGTTGCTGTTAAGGAAATTCAAAGTCAGTTGCCGTGACATGTGCTTCCTGATTTTGTAGGTTCTATTCCTTAACAGCAACCCAGGATGCTTTGACACGAGGGCAAGGCCAGCTGGAGAAGTTGATGCAGCGGTGCTTCTTGTTTTGTGTTTTTACGCAGGGTTATATAAAGGATTATATAGGGGGCTACTATAGAGGTTGCGAAGAGACAGGGTTTTGCAGCTTATCAGAAATACGGTACAATAGGATAGGTAGATTATGGTGATGATTGATAATGATTGTGAAAATTGTGTCGGGCACTTGAAGGCTACAAGTGTTGTAGGCTTTCTTATTGTGGACAGTCGGCTTTTTAGCGGTCAAAAGCATCCTTGCTCCTGACAGTTGCGGATGTCCCAAAACACGGGTCCCTATGACATTCCACGATAAAGAGCCTTGGTCTGTTGTTGTACATGTGAGCACTTGTCCTGGTATATAGTTGGCTGGGTGATGGCACGCGACTGCTGTTCCAAAAGTAAACACAACACTAGATTGCACGCATTTGCAAATGCCCCCAGCAGCCAAGGTTTCATCAGCGATTTGGAAATATGGCCCAGCTTTTTGGATTCCAAAGCAGCCTGTTAATCAGTTGTTTGTTTCCTCCGGGTGACAGGTGCAATCATGAAAGAAAATGTCATTTTGTTATTTACAGAAAGCTGGCTAAACAAATAGTACAAAGCAATATGACTGCAATAGCTAAGCTAAGACTGGCAGCCCCGAACCGTAACCCCCAGGCCCTACACCCCTCGCGGTGAGCAGTTAAGGAATTCGCAAAGATGTGCAGGACTGCCTTCGCGATGAGGAGTTCGGGGGCATTTTCCAATCACTTGCAAAGAATTACTGCAATTCTAGGCCTGCATGTCTTTTGTAGATATATGCAGTTTCATTTATATTCTTTCGTTTATGAGCATATAAGCTTGGATAGCTGTGCTCCACCCTTAGTCTGTGAAAACTCCTCCTCCAGAGGGTTTCGGTTTCAGTGCAGTTTGCTGCGAGGAATGGCAGCAGGATGTGCGGCAGATCAGCCTTGAGCTGCCCCAAGATGTCAAAGACATCCAGGCCAACAAGTTGGGAAACACCGAACCAGTAATACTAAGAGTGAGAATGATATTCATAGTAGTACTAGCAAGAATCGCAATAGTAGTAAGTTTTTCCTTCAACCAGTTTGTAGCCAACAGACCCTTTTCAAGCCTAATTTGTATTTTCACTCTGGATGACATGGCCAGGCCCACATCCTGAACATCGTGCAGAGCAGCTTGGCGGAGCAGGCTTTGGAAAACCTCGGGTTTAGGGTTTAGGGTTCCTTTTTTATGTTGTTTGGAGAAGATTTTTGGAAGGAGCGCACAGTGCCAGCTGAATTTTTTGCGTGGGGGCTCTTGGGGGTCGTCCCCAACAGGGACTTTCGGATTTTCAGAAACATTTGAAACCTCTCAACTCTTAACCCTAGACCCGAAACTCAAAACCATAGACCCTAAACCCCCTATGAAGTGGGGCTTGTATTGAATGGCTGTGCTGAGAATAGTCAGGATCCCTGAGCCAGATTGGTGAGCTCGCAACTGCCAATTGGGGACCACAAATAGACACAATGGCCATATCAACCCTACATTCTACAAAACCTAAACCCTGGAGCTTGCAACCCAAACTGTAAACTCCAAACCCTAAACCCCAAACCCTAAACCCCAAACTCCAAACCCCGGAAGGTAAACCCTATATACCCTGGACCTTAGACCCTAAACCCTATATCAGCCTGGAAACCTGAACCGAGCCAAGGCACTCTTGTCCAGCTGCAGAAGGACCCGAATCTCGACCTGGGCCACTTGCAGGCGAGGTAACCCTAAGCGTCCAAGTACGCAATACCTAGGTACTTGAGATTTAACGCCAACTGTAGTAGCGGTTTTGGGTAAGTATATGGCGATTAGGTACTTGGACCCAGAGGGTAATCCCTTCCTCCAATTGAATATAAACACCCTCTATCCCCTAATGTTAAATACTCCCACTCTGGTATTTTTTAATATAGTGGGGCTACTCAATATTCACGGGGTGCCTTTTTTTCTTTTTCGGCGGAGGGGAGTCAGGGAAAACCCAAGGTTTAACGAGGTAATATCCCATTGTCCTAGATAACGCTATAGCTTTACGTGACAGACTTTCATTGATTCTCTGGCTTCTTTTTGACCTGCTTTTACATTCTTGGTGTCTTGTCCCTGAACCCTAAACCCTAAACCCTAAACCCTAATCCCTTAATATAGCCCCATGTAATCTCTAGGTTACCCTGTTACCCTGTTGTGGGATGCCCACCTAACTGGAAGGAGTCCTCAGGCCCTTCAAAGGCCCAAGCAGACGATGAGCCCTGAGCCCCACATGCCCTCCCCCTAATATTAAACCTCCCCACCCTCAACGGGGTATATAGGGGTTAGGGTTTAGGGTCTAGGGCTGATATTAAATCTCCCCACCCCCTAATATCAAATACTTCCAAAATATGTTATGATTCTACAACAATGGGGAGGGGGGTGGGGGGGGTGTAATGTTAAGGGGAAGGGATTACATCCTGGATCCTGGATTCATAACTGAGCCTGCATACGTGTTGCTTAGGGTTTATGCGTCGTAAGTTGTAACTGTAACTGTATTCTATCAGCCCATAAGCCTTAAACCTTATCGACACTGCTCCAGGTGCGAGACTCTGTGTCTCCCGCTTTCGAGGCCGAGCTGCGCCAGGCCATTTGACTTGAAGTGAGACTTTGCAAAGCTTTTTTTTTTGGAGCTCCGGAAGTAACATATTCAGGCTAGTGCCTGCGAGGCAAAAAACATCCACAAGCAAGGGGCCCCCGACATTGGCTCCAATATAGGACAGTCCCGATGATAGTGTCCCTTAAAACAAACAGCAGCCGCACATCTACTTCAGGGGGGCTATAACCCCAATATATATCCTATTCTAATATAGTAGTTTCCATTTTCCTTTCCATTATCCTTATATAATCCCAATAATATACCCATAAACCCTAAACCCTAAACCCCAAACCCTAAACCCCTAAACCCTAAACGATTGAAGCTGCCATCAGGTCTTGGACCCGGTTTGGCTTAGCCTGGGCCCGCATGCCCGGCGTCTGGTCAGCGACCTCAACGGCGTGCGCAAGCTCCTCATCTCAAATACGAGCTATAATCTAAAGGGGGTTATATATGTATATAGTCCCCCTTAAGTAGATAGAATATGGCTTTGGGTATATTATAGTAACATTTCTAAATACCCCATATTCTATCTACTTAAGGGTTATATATAATGTGCTACTATAGGGGATATTAAGAGGGATGCTAGGAGTTTACACTATCGCTCATATGATGGTCTCCCAGATTAGGCGTACCTCTTTGGGGGTCTCGAAACCAAGGATGGTAGTATTTCGGGGTCTATCTCAAAGTTCTCCTATTTAGGGAGACTACCACAGATATTTTTTTAAAGGAACTTGAGAAGCTTGATAGTTTTGCATGTAGATGTCTGAAACCTGAAGCCTTGCCATTTTCACCAAGATGGCATTTTTTGGGAGCCTTCAGATGGATTGCGCTCTTTTTTGTTACGTCGCCGTTGCTTGGAAAGTCTGCCTGCCTGGAGGACCCCTGTCTTCTGAAAAAGAAAGTACTACACTAGCATTTCAAATTTGAATGTCCCAACGAATAGATCCATATCCGCAGGAAAGCTCTTCACCCCAAACCTTGAGGTCTCTTCTTGATTTGTGCCTCCTTCTCCACCCTAACCCCTAAGCCCCCAATCGAGAAGTGTACCCAGGCACAATCCCAAGCAAAAACGGTGCAATTCTCCTAAAGGGCCAGCAGCTCTTTCATCTCGAGCAGGCTTTTGACGGAGCTCTTGCGCAGCGATGCAGTTGAATTTCACCGTTCGTTGGAGAGCCTCTTGACCAGCCAAAGGCAACATCACTTTGGTGTGGGATTTCGTTTGTTGAGGTTCCTTCTGGATTGAGGTATAGTCCCCCTTAAGTAGATAGAACATGGCTTTGGGCATGTTGTAGTAAGATCCCTATATACCCCATATTCTGTCCATTTAGAGGGGACTACATGTATTGGGGTGGGCCTTCATTTGTGGCATTCCTGTGTACTCCCACGGCAATCCCACTAGGCTCCTTCCATTGCCTTTGCGGCTCCTGATCCCATAGCCCCTCCTAAGTAGATAGGGATAGTTAATGGAAAACAGCATGGAAACTATTATAGTATAGCAGAGTATATATTGGGGTTATAGCCCCCTTAAGTAGATAGAATATGCGGTATATTATTGGGGTTATATAGGGATAATGGAAAAGAACATGGAAATTCCTATAATGGGTTACTTATAGCGTTTAGGGTTCAGGCCCCCTCAAGTAGACAGAACATGGGGTATATTATTGGGGTAGAAACTGGAAATTGTTATAATGGGTTGTATAAGGTTTAGGATTTAGGGCCCCTTAAGTGATAGGATATGGGGTATATAGGGATCTCGTACCCAAAGCCATATTCTATCTACTTGAGGGGGGCTATAGACTGAAGATAAGCCATTGACCCTACCCTCTGCCCGCAGCCCTAAACCGTAATTCATAAACCCTAACCCCTAAACCCTAAACCTCAAACCCAGGCTTGTGTGTATCTGGGGATGCTGGGAGGGCCCCACCGTGGCTGCATAGCCCGGATGCACAGGCTTGTGAGGGTTCCGGGGTTTTGAGGATCAGGGTCTGGGTTGAAAGAGGGTAGGGCCGGACGGGTAGAGATTCATAGCCCCCCTTAAGTAGATAGAATATGGCTTGGGGTATATTATACTAAGATCCCCATATTCTATCTACTTAAGGGGGACTATAGGATTTATGGTCTTGGTTTTGCTGGCGCTGCTGGGTCGCTTGAATTTGTTTTTTGGGATTCATGGCGATGCCATTCGCTTGGCTCCATCCCTGCGAGCCCCAAAAAGAAAGTAGCAGTGACCAGAAAGAAACAGAGCTTCCCGGAAGTTTCCTTGAATTAAAGCTGCACATGTTAGGCGTCTGTAGAAGGATATAGATATGTATGTATTTGTTCTTTGATTTTTTTGTTGCCTAAGGGGCCCCCCATAGTTATGGAAAGTGCCCGAAATGACCAAATAGTTGTCTGGCACGCGCAGGTTACCGGTGAATCTGGGCTGCCGCAGGGTTACTTACATCTTCCTTGGGAAGCTGCCTTGGGTTTAGGGGTTTAGCAGGTTTAGGGCTATATTCAGGGTTTCTTTCCATTATTCCCCTCATGAGCCATAGTCTAAACTCCCAGGATCCCCGTTACTAAGCTCTAGACTACTCCCCAATTTAATCCCCTATATAACCCCCTTTAAATGTAAAGAGTTTTGACTATGCCCCATCTAAGCTTTGTATAACGCATGTAGCCCTAAACTACAATTCATGCCCTGGTGGCTGCTTGATTTTTGTTACTGGGGGATAGTAGGGAATAGGGGAATGTCTAATGTAGGGATTGTATGGGGATTGCATTCTGTTATTCCGTATTAACCACCACTAAGATTGTTGGGTGCAAATGGCCCATACTCTCTCGACCATTTGTTCGGCATTACTTCAGCACTCGCACGATGATTCTTTCGCCAAACAGTGACCGTATCTTGCTTTCGCATTGTGTTAGGCTTTTTTCTGCACAGGTTCTGTTCTTGTGATTGCTATTGCAAAGGAGCTTTCTTTTGGCCCCTGGTTGTTGCAGGCTTTATTGAACCCCGATCGAGTTGGGCTCTCGGAGCTGTGAACCCCAAGAGCCTTGAATTCCTTTAAACGCTACTCCAACCTTGAAGCCCTAAACCCTGAACCCTAAACGCCAGACCAAAAAAAAGTCCTAGACCCCTAGACCCCTAAACCTGAAACCCTTACCCTGTCCCGAAACCTTAAACCCTAGACCTGAAACCCTAAACGCGAAACCCTCCAAACCTGAAAGGCTTGCTTGAACCTGGCCAAAGCTCGAGTGTATGAGATTGGTGCAAGCCCTGATGGTGGAGGGCAGGCTGGCGCCGCGTGGGAAACAAATTGTACTTTAAGTGGAACCCCTCCCCTTGTAATAGTTGTTATAAGGGACAAGAGCAACTATACTAGGGCCATCTCGCATGCCTTATACCGCTATGAAACGGCGAGGGGGGCAGTATGATTTCTGAGTCTAGGTTTGCACAGGCTTGGAGTCTATGGGTTTGGATGCGATTGTAGGTTTTCGGGTTTGAGGGGTTGAATGCAGGCTGGGAAGTGGCGTACAGGTTCCAGGCATCAGGGTTTTTCAAGGACAATGAAGAGCATACTGCACCTGAGCGCCATTGTGTTTGGACGTGTTAGCTTGTTTCAGAAGACTTGGAACCGCACTTGTGCCTGCTTGCGGGCCCCACAACCCGAAGGTCTTTCAGAGGAAGGTGCAGAGCCATGCCAAATGGGCAAAGATCCTGGAGGCTGTTGCTGGAGTCTTCCAAGACAACTTGTCTCTTTTTATCCTCATTTGAATAGCTGTGACCAGAGAACTGCGACCGTTACCATTCGCAGATAGGTCTGGTTTCAAGGTGCTATTGTACCAATAGTGATTATTGATTTGTTCGCTGAGGCTAGTTTTTGTTGTGAAGGGTGCCCAAACTGCTTATGTTTTTAGTCTCTGAAGATGGATTTGGTTTTTGCAAATGCACCAACAGTGCTTACAGTATGCCTGAAAGTGGACTTAGGTTGACCGCACGCTGCTGGACGTCGCCGAAAAATCTGCGCGGCCGAAGGCAGCTCCTGGCTCGGGGTTTGCTTCCTTAAACATGGGAGCTCCTCAGGCAAGCTGTTTACAGGATCCGGATGATAGCGATATAGAGATCCTGGGCTGTCTTTTGGGCATGCTTGAATTCAATCTTCTTGTTCTGGGACCGTCGAATTTTTGGTGATCTTCTGGGGGCTTACAGGGCAACCCAGGATTGTCATCGTGCAGCCCATGACTAAGCGACAGCGGACTCTGCCATCAACCGGTGACGTTGTTGAGCCGCGCGTGCTCATCATCGCGCAGCTGGGCCGATTACGAACAAAGACGAGTCCTTCATAATTTGGCCTATAGTCCCCCTGAAGTAGATAGAATATGGCTTGGGGTATACTATGCTAAGATCCCCATATACCCATATTCTATCTACTTAAGGGGGACTATAAACCCAAAACCCCATTTATACCTTCCCCCACAACTGACATGGAAACTCAAGATGGGCCCTTTGTAGACGAGTTTGCTTTTCCAAGCAGACTATGTTAGTTCAGGGAGCTAGGTATTTCTTGGTTTGAGGTCTAGTGTTTATCCCTAGTGTCCCAGTTGAAAATCACAACCATGGTCAATTTCAACAGTATTCCTCACGCGACTTTCTTCAAAACCGTTTCAAAACCCTTTGCCACAACCCCGCAAACTCCAAACCATGCTGAGACCCAAGATCCCGAATGCTGCAAAATCTACACCTTCCTGACATATTCTGTCTGCACCTGATTTTCGGTAAGGCCTAAACCTGAACAACTGACATTAACCCTGAACCCCACACCCCAAACCCATAATCCCTATATCGTCCTTATATAGCTCCTTTACTCTATATCCCTACGACATGTAGACCGTGCACCCTGTACAACCCTCATATGCTCCCTTTTTAACCCTATAGCCCCTACATGAACCCTTTTTAACCCTACAACTCCTGAAAAAGAGGACAGTAATCCAGGCCTGAGGATCGTTCCCGCCGTCAGCTGTCTACTTTGCTTCATCGGGGCCCTGAGGCAACATTGTGGCCTGTCCCAGATTTGGAGTTTAGGGCTCAGGGAGTGTCCCATTGGGGTTCAGGGAACCCCCTGAACCCTAAGCCCTAAGCCCTAAGCCCTAAACCCTAAACCCTAAACCCTATTATTTACGAGCCATCTCCTGTAGGATTTAGCCTGTTGCAAAGGATTTACGGTTTAGGGTGCAGCTTATCTCGGGTGATGCTTCAACTTTAGGCCTGGAGGGTTTGAGGGCTTCAGGGGGTTTAGGGTTTAGGGCTTCAGGATTCTTAGGGCTTCAGGCATTAGAGGGTTTCAGGAGGTTTGAACTTTGGGATGTGTTTCTTTTGGCCCCGATTTACTTCCAGGTCCTCTTCCGCAACTGCGCTGAATTTCAACTGTTTTGTAGCTGCAGCAAAACCTGTGAATCATGATTCTTCATCATCCACAAAGGCCACGTTGCCCATTTCAAAGGCCACCTGGTCCTCCCGTGTACTCCGTGCGCGGTAGCTGAGGTTGGATGGCCTGGAAGCATACCTGCTAGAAAGAAGTTCGCGAGGTCGGCAAGATAGCCCACATGGGTTCCCGTCGACACACCTCAGGTACGCATGCCGAAGGGAGAATGGGGGAGTGGATTCCTTTAATAATCCTTATACAGGCCCATATAAACCCCATAAAGATACCTATATTCGTTCCCCCGCTCCAAACCCCAAACCTTAAACTCAAAACCCTAAACCCTAAATTGTAGTTTCCATTTGCTTTTTCCATTATCCCAAAATATCCCCTATATAACCCTAAGCACTTTCACTCCCCCACTCCCCCGTAAGCACCAGAAAGGTTTGGCGAGGCCCAAATCCTGGCACACGAAGCGCAGGCCGTCCGCCAGGAGCTGGACGAACTGCAGCCACGAAGACAGCTTGTGCTTTGGGAGGTTTTGGGGTTTAGGGGTCTGGGGTTTAGGGAGTAGGTTCGTGCTGTTCATTCTCAATTTGCCAAAAATGGATTTCATTTGTTGTTCTATAGGTGAACTTACTCCTGCCCAAACAAAGACCCCGACATAGTACAATCCCAAATATATATATATATATGGAAGAAGTGATGCGTGATTTCTGGAGACCCTAAGCCCTAAACGGCCCTAAGCCCTATACATCCTTATATACCCATATGTATACATGTGGAATATATATATATATACACACGTCTGGAAAGCTCCTACACGCATCTTCAAGGGATCCCAAGAGATGTCCCTTTTTTGGGAAGCCAATTCAACCACAGTAAGCAAGAGCCCTACATGCCCTTGTATATCCGTATAATAGACCCTTGTGTATCCCTTAAAGCCTCTTGAGCACTTTAGAAGGAAGGCTATTGATGTCCTTCTCTTTTCGACCCAGGAAGTGCGCTACAGGTTCGGAAGCTGCCAGATGGCCGCATGTGCCACCCTCGGATCGACGTCATCTCTGCCGACGACGCTGTAGCAAGTTGGGTTTAAGATGGTTTAAGATCTGGGGCTCGGGGTTAATGATGGGGGCGTAGGTTTTAGGATTTTTTGTGCGTTTGGATGCTTGCCGCCCCGCAGACTTACATGGAAGTCCATGCGGACCGCTTTAAGCCAGCTACATGTGTTCGTTGCATGTTAGTTCGGGAGAAAGTAGGCTCAGTAAGGCATGTCAGCCACGATTCAATAGCGGCGTCAATAGCTTCACAGTGATGATCTTAGGACACAGAGGGACAGCTGGAAGTGCGGTTGATGGAAATGCAGCCGCACGCCGTCATTGTCTTGGAGCCCACCGTTCATGCAATCCGAACTTTGGAGGTCCACTGTGCGCTAGCGCGGAAGGGGTCCACCCCCGTCGTCAAGATGGAGGCATCGCGGGTTGCCCCACCTGAACAAGTGAAGAAGACCCTTTTGAACAAACTGCGAAAGCAAGTGAATCGCTATTGAGAGGAAAAACGAGTGCAGGGCACGTTGCAGATCCTCTGTAGTCCTTATCCTTGCCCCCTTAGCCGTGAACTAAGACATTGCGCCCATGAAGGCAGGCTCTGATCCAGAGCCGGCTGACAGCAAGAGGCTGGCCCCCTTTCAAGTCTACCTCATGGTCTTTGATGAGTCAGTGGAGAAGTACCGCTTCGAGCAGTGCATGAAGCAGGAAGACGGGTCTAATGCTGAAAAGCCTAGTTCGGATTGTCGCAAAAAAAGGAGCTGGTCAAAATACACTGATTGTTCGGCTGGTGGAAACAGAGACTCCCGACAGTTTTGGGGATCCATTCCTGCCTGCCAGAGTGTTGGGCACAGACTTCTACAGCTTCTGAAAGGCTGTCATCCAAAGTAAGGGTACCCTCATCAGATTGCTGATGAGGTAAGGGGGCAAATCGCCAAGCCCTTCAAACTGCGATGTTGAAGCCTGCTTTTTAGGGGTGATGCCGTCTCTTTTCTGGCATATGACCAAAAATCATGGGTTCCGGGTAGCAGCGCTTACGCCAGGGAACCTTTGAAGATTGCTGCTCACAACCGGAAGCAGTAGTGGCATCGTCGGATTAGTGTGCGCTATTGGTCATTATGTTTGGACCTCATGATGTCTTGGCCCTGGTGCCTAGCAGAGTCGGCATCATCAGAATATGTGTGGGGCTTTTGTCGCCTCGAAAATTGATATATCGTGCCTTAAATTCCAAAGTCGAAGCAGGCTTTAACACATGCATGCCAGCAAGCACATGCCTCTCTATACATGAGCTTTGTCTTACACAAGTACAGAGGTCCCAGCCCTCAAGCTTTATGTCTGGGATTCAGGCCTTGGACCCTCAGCCCGTCTAGCTCCCACAGCCCGAATTTTTTTCACAAGGCACCCACAACGTGCCTATAGCCCCCTTCAAAGGGACCCGCCCTGAACCCTAAACCATAAACTCATGAATTTTCCAAATCCCTAAATGGGGCTTTCGAAAAATTGGGGGTATCACTTTAGGGGTCCCTATAATCAGGATAACAGTGTTTTGGGGTCTATATTGGGGTCCCCTTATTTTGGGAAACTACCATATCCCTAGAAGGAAAGCGAAGCCGTGGATTCCTTGATCCGCTTCCGACAGCACCTGACTTTCAGACTCTCTGCATCAGCCTGAAGCATCCTGGGGTCAGTTCAAGTTTTGGGTTTAGGCTTTGTTTTGGGTTTAGGGTGTAGGGTTAGGGTATGTTTAAAGTTCATGTTGAGGGTGAGTTGGGGACTGTATGTGGGCCACTCCTCCAGACCATTCCCGAGTCACAACTAGCAAGAGAATGGGATGGGGGAGGTAGCGATATGCTTGGGGATGCGGGTTTAGGGTTTAGGA